GCGTCGTCTTCGTCATCGCCAGGCTCAAGGAAATCCCACCAGCCCTTTGGGCGTGAGTGGTTTAGGGAGCCCTCTCTGTCCTCAACCCCCCTTCTTCCCCTTCGGGGAGGGGTTTACCCCTCCCCCTACCCCCTCCCCCTGGACCTGGAGAGGGCGCCCCGCGGGTGGTCAGGGGGGTCCTTTTCGACGCCTGGGAGGGCCAAAAAACTACGACCCTCACGAGGATTCTCGCCCCGACGGGGGGATAGAGAAAAAACCTCTCCTCTTCTGTGACGCCAAAATCATTGATTTTACTACGGTTTTGGCCCCATTTTGGCCTTCTGAGGGGGCAGCGCTCCTCTTCCTTGTTCTCAGAATCATTGAGTTTACGAAGGTTTTGGGCTCATTTTGTCTTTCTCAGGGGGTAGCGCTCATTTGCGCTTCTGAGGAGGTCGCAAGAGGCCCCAAGATGGCGCCTTGATGCCCCCAGGAGGCTCCCAAGAGGCCTCCAAGAGGCCCCCAAGAGGCCCCCAAGAGGCCCCCAGAGGCCCCCAACAGGCTCCCAAGAGGCCCCCACGAGGCCCCCAGAGCCCCCAAGAGGCCCCCAAGAGGTCCCCAAGAGGCCCCCAAGAGGCCCCCAAGAGGCCCCAAGAGGCTCCAAGAGGCCCCCAAGAGGCCCCACGAGGAGCCCGAACGACTCACACCAGGACGAGGGGCCCGAACGACTCACACCACGAAGACCCGAAAGTGGAGCACCACAAGGAGTTCCCGAAGCTCTTACACCAAGAGACGAGCGCCCGAACGACGCACAAACCCACGAGACCCGAACGACCACACCAAAACGCCCGGGCCTCGAAAACGTCTCACACACGAGGCAGCCCGAACGACTCCACACCAGAGGAGGGGCGGGCCCAACAAGCCACACACGAGGACCCCGAAAACGACTTCAAAACCACGCGAGGCCCCGAACGACTCACACCACGAGGAGCCCGAACGAGTCACTCCAGGAGGAGGGGCCCGAACGACTCACACCAGGACGAGGGGCCCGAACAACTCACACCACGAGAAGCCCGAACGACTCACACCAGGACGAAGAGCCCGAACGACTCACACCACGAAGAGCCCGAACGACTCACAACAGGAAGAAGGGCCCGAACGACTCACACCAGGACGAGAAACCCCAAACGACTCAAACCACGAGGAGCGCTTTCTCTCCCTCCTCCTCCGCCTCGTCCTTCTCCCGCTCCCCCCACAAGGAGGATGTACAAGGAGGCGGGAGGAAGGAGTAACAGGGGAGATATGCGGGGGCAGGCGGAAACACGCCTGAAAAACACGACTGTCGGCACGCTTCGCAAGAGTTGCTGTTGAGAGATGGGCTGGTGGGGATACGCGAAGCGTAAAGAATTCAGGAACGAGGAAATTGAGAAACGTCGTAGTTAAGTCGAATGGAGGCACCTTCCCTTATTCCCTTCCCTGCTGAGAGGGGACATGGCTGGGGGGGGTCCTGGGACAAAGTACCGCCCCCCCCCCCCGGAAGACAAAGCCTCGTGGCTATTCTGGGGGCGCCCTGGTGTGGAACTGTCAGCGATTTTCAAGTGTCTGGTCGTGTCTATGTTCATGTCCCGCGCATCATATTATTTATCAATGTTTCGTTTGCGTTGTGATGGTCGCGGTGTATATTTTACGCGTTTTAGACATGTTTAGACATTCTTAGCCACGGAATTAAACATGCTTAGCCACGAATAGCCACAAAGTAGCCACGGCATGACATTTAGCCACGTTTAACCATTTTTAGCCACGTTTAGCCATGTTTAGTCACGGGCGCGAACGAGTGTTTTGCATGCGGAAATTATAGCCACGTTTAGACACGAAATAAACACGCATGTTTTCTAATCCGAACATGTGCGAATGACTGTGTCGAAGCTCCCGAAGCGGTGGAACACAGATGAGGCTTGGCCGTTACCTGTGGCAGGAGGAAGGGGAAGACGGAGGAGCAGGCAGAGGATGAGCACGAGAAGGTACGGAGGGAGAGACGTGGAGGGGTAAGCAGATGAGAGGGGGAATATGAGGATCAGGACCAGAAAAAGCATAGGGGAGGAATAAAGGCACGACGACGAATAATAATGATAAGGTTAAGAAGGAGAACAACAACAATGAAATTCACGAAGACGATGACGAAGACAATGACGACGACGACGACGACGACGTCGACGACGACGACGACGACGGCGGCGGCGGCCGCCGCGGCGGCGGCGACTGCTACGACGACGACGAAAGATCTGCAACTGCCTTGGTTGTTGCCTCCTGTCGATCGTCGCCGTCGTCGTCGTCCTCGTCGTCCTCGTCGTCGTCGTCGTCGTCGTCGTCGCCGTCGCCGCCGCCGCCGCCGTCGCCGCCGTCGTCGTCGTCGTCGCATTCGTTTTCGTATTCGTCGTATTCCTCTCCGTCGTCGTCGTCGTAGTCGTTATGCTCGACATCATCGTGTCCAACTTCCTCCCCCACCCTCGTCCTCTTTTTGCTCCTTCTCCCTCCCCTCTCCTCCGCTTCCTCCTCCTGGCGCGATGCGGGTGTGCTTTGTCTTGCTTGTCTTTGTGGGGCAACCTGCTTGATCGTGCGGGCAGCGATATTTAGCGTTTTCCCCGTCTGGGTCGCGGTTGTATATTAGCCACGTTTAGCCACGAAATAGCCACGGCAGTGAATCGATTTTAGCCACGAGTAGCCATGTTTAGACACGATGTTTTTAGACACGGCATTTTTTTTAGACGCTGCCAAGTTTTTAGACATGTTTAGCCACTCGCAAGCCACGCCCAAGCGAGAAGCACGCGCGGCTAAACCCGGCTAGAACTTACGATTTTAGACACTTTTGCACCGCGCTCAAGCAAGAGCAACGTCCCGGCTAAACGCGGCTAAAAATTTTAGCCGCGTCTTCCAGGGCCTCAAGGTCCCGGGGGAGGTCCCGCCTTAAAGGTCGGCGGCGCCAGCCGTAAGGCCTTCCCAATGATAACAACTTGATTGCATCAACCGGCCCTGAAACAGCTTAAACCGCATGATGGACCATGAACGAATACCCTGCGGTACCAAGTACCCCACATCCGCTGGAACAGGCCAGAGGTCACTGGATGCTAGATCTTGCACCTGCTCGTGCACAGCGGACGGAGACCTTTTTGGTCTGCGGGTCAGGAGCGGGCCCCTTCCGGTCAAGAGCTACACGGGGCGCGAGTAGCCCTAATTGGGGAGACAGGGCGCGGGCGGGCGGGGCCTCAGGTGGCCGGAGAGCGTGGGTGCAGGCGGTGCCGAAGAGCTTGCACAGGAAAAGGTACGCCTTGGACAGGAGCCGGAGGCGAAGTCCTGGAGTGAGGGCGAAGTGGTGTTGCCGCAGCGGACGGAAGCATGCGTTCGAGTATCCCCGCGGTCGAGACCCTGTCGGGATCCCAATTTTGCTGCTGCTGCTGCTGCTGCTGCTGCTGCTGCTCTGGTGCTGCTCTCCTCCCGGGTCGTCCCGAACGGCCGCCGGAGGCCCGAGCTATGATCTCCTCCTCCTCCATTTTCTTCCTCCTCCTCCTCCTCCTCCTTATCCTCCTCCTCCTCCTCCTCCTCCCCCCCCCTCTCCTCCTCTCCCTCCTCCTCCTCCTCCTCTCCTCCTCCTCCTCCTCCTCCTCCTCCCCCCTCGTCTCGTCCTCCTCCTCCTCCTCCTCCTCCTCCTCCTCCCTCCTCCTCCTCCTCCACGTCCTTTTCCTCCTCCTCCTCCTCCTCCTCCTCCTCCTTCCCCTCTCCCTCCTTTTGCTCCTCCTGTTGCTGCGTTGCGCAGAAGTAGACGACGCGAGCAGCATCGGATGCTCTCCTGCTTCCCAGACTTGCGCATGGCAGGAAGGTGACGAGAGGAGGACCAATCGGCACACGCATGCGGAGGAGAACGAGCAGCAGCGACTTTCTGGTCCAGGTTGCAGGGCGCTCTCAGAGCACGAAAGCAGCGGAAGACAGCGAGACACTGTATGCTGTAATTACTACGGCACTGCGCGGACTTTGCCTGCCCTTCCCCTGTCTGACTACCTACCAGACCACCCCAACCCAACCCGAAGACCCGAATTTGACCCGAATTTGACCCGAATTTCGGGTTGGTGGGGGTACGGGTTCCATGTGTTTCTTCAATGTTCCCCGACCCCCCCCCCACTAGAAACGGAGGGCAAATTGAGGCCTTCGGGTTGGGTTGGGGTGGTTTGGTGGGTGGTGACTATCAGCGCGCCCAGCCTGCCCGCTCAAAGGGAACACAGCCTCGCAACCACCGTCGTCCGGCCTTCCGTCCTCGCCGCCCTGCTCCGGTCCTGCTCCAGTCAAGGAACGAAGCCCGTGGCACCGCAAGAGTTAAATCGGGCGTGTCCCCCTACAGGGGGATTTTCGACGAAAAATAAAAAATAGTCAAACAATACCCCAACATGATCAAAAGATGCTCAAACAATAATCCCCAGACAATTTTTTACTATTTTTGAATATTCCTCCTGTAGAGGGACAGGCCCGACTTAACGCAAGAGGCGTGCAACGCAAAGATTCTCAAACACCCCGGGCCTGTCGACGCTCGCCTCGACAGGATCATGCCGCGGGCCCTCGAAGCCCATCAGTGGGGCTCAGGCGTCTTCGCACCAGCGGTTTTCCTCGCGCACTTGCGCCTCCTCCTCCGGGGTGAAGTCGTTCACGATGTTGAACTGCTTGCGGATCTCCTCCGTGTTCTTGCCCTTGATCATGGAGGCTACCTTCGCGCAGGTGAGGTCCAGCAAGCTCTTGATGTCGAGGTAGTTCGCCGCTAGGATGAGCTCGAAGAGCACCTCCTGCTCGATGTTGACGTACTCGCTGTCCCACTCCGAGACGCCGCACTCGATGAGGTTGGTGCTCTTCAGCGGCTTCTGTATCTCCTCTGGCGCGTTGTCCTTGTGGTACTTGCAATAGTCCAGGACCTTGCTCAGGATCGCCGTCTTCACGTTCGGCAGCGGAATCTCCTCGTCGGTACCGCTGTCGTCAACCATGTTCTTGATCAGCGTCGACATGCAGGCGACCTCCGGCTCCACCTCGAAGACCTCGCCCTGCGACGACTTCAACTTGAGCAGCTCTCCGTCACCAGCCATGTTGTTGTGCCCTGCTTGCCCGCTCGGGGCAACAATCTTGCGATGTGTCGCACGAAGGGCAGCCGACCGACCCAGTCGTGCTCAAGCCAGATCGGATTCGGATGAACGGGTGGGGGGGCAGAAGAGGGCGAGGAGGATCAGAACAGGGAGCAGCAAGAAGGAGACGAGGAAGGAAAGGACGACAATGAAGAAAAACAATACGAAAAAGCAGGAGGAGACGGGCGGGCGGGGGGCAGGAGAGGTAGAAGGGGGAGTGAGGGAAGAAAAGGGGGAGGGTCACGGGGAGGAAGGAAGTGGTTAGAGGAAGATACGCAAGTGGAGAAAAAAAGGCGACGATAAATGCGTAGCAGGTAGTGCAACAAAAGAGCAGGAGCAGGGATAAGGGCATGGGGATTGAGAGTATAACGCAAAAACCACATGACGGTAACATATGACCTTAGCCAACGCGGGCTCCAAACACGGGGCTCTTGCATTGTATGCGGTGCTATATATGCGGCGCAACTGATTTTTCAACCATAAGCTGACACATCCCACGCTCTTGCAAACATCCCACCCACCCACCCGCAACTCGGTTTGCAAAACCCACGCGGTGGCGATAGCGATGCATGTTTGGCGTTGGCTGGTGCATCTCTGCGGCCGCGCCAACCCTAGCACGCGCGCGCAGCGGCCAGCTAGTTTGGCACCGCCGACGCGGCCGCGATGGCGCTGACCGCTGGGCGCATCCCAGCGGGCCCTTCACTGCGAGTCGGCGATTTGGGCGGGCGCGATGATGATAGTGGCGATGCTGGTGACCCGGGCGGTTTTAAGTGACACGGATGGTGCCCCCCCCCCCCACACGCGCGCAAAGGCGCGCGAATGATGTCGGCATGCGGCGCCAGAGGCCCGTTTGGCAGAATATGTTGAACAACGTATGGCCTTCTTGAGAAGTCGCAAGAGCGCGCGTACACATTCTGCTTTCAAAACTAATGTTGCGGAACCTTGTGCGTTTGAGCGTCTCCTGGACGCTCGGTTTTGCAATCCTTACGACGCCGCAGGTTTTGAAGGATTTCGGCATGCGCGCGCGACGACGCGCGCGCGTGCAGGAACTTTAAAAAACTGACGGGTTGTAATCCACTCTGCTGAACTTGAAGTCGTCATCTCCACTGCTCGCGCAAACGCCCCACCCCCCCATCCGCAATATGTGTGGCAAAACTCATGATGCGGGGGGGCGGCGGCGCCACCGATGACGACATCGATGATAACATCCTCATTGCCGATGCTCGTCACCGTGAGTCGATGACGAAGGTGAACAGATCGACGATACCCCGACGTGCGCGATGACAAGATGACGTCGGCAACGCAGGCGAGAATGACGAAAATGGCACCAGCGACGACGATGTTCAAGAGGGCGACGGCACGAACGATAACGGCGCCAATGATGGCAAACACGTTGGCGATGCTGATGTCCATCTGTCGATGCGGCAGGTGTTCGCAATGATGCTGGCAATGTTGAAAAGGAAGTCCGCGCGCGCGCGGAAGTTCACCAAATCCGTCAGAGTGATCATGCGCGCGCGGCGGCGCGCGCATGTGGACCGCGTGGTTGTTTGTGCAAGGAATTCGCGCCCTCGGCGCATGACAGGAATATCGCGGGTGCACCGCGCGATGACATGAAATCGCTGGATTTGGCAGAATTCCTAACAATCCGATGAATTTTGAATGATTTTACCATGAGCGCGCGGACAGGAAATGCGCAAGACAAGTGTTGCAAAACCCGTGTTTTTTGCTATATTTCTACGCTGGAAGATGCCTGCAAACACAATGTGTTTGGTACGATGCTCACATGGGCGCGCGCGTGATGGCTCCCCTGTATTTTTCTGCAAGGGATTATTGACATTTGCTTTCTTATGATGGAGAAGTGCGCGCATCGCATTTTTTCCAAAAGGTGGCGGGGGGGGGGGGGGTCGATACCGATTTGGCTGAGATAATATGAACTCACAGGTAGGGTGGACGAGTGTGTAGAATAACGGCGGTGTGGCTGGGATACTATGAAGTCACAGATAGGATGGACGTGCGTAGAACAAATATGAAATCGCAACACCCCAGGGGGATCGTTAACTTCCGGTGTGTGCGTGTGTGGGGGGGGGGGGGGGGTAGAGTCTATTCTTCTTTCAGAAAGGAGAATAAACGACTGTGCGCGCATGCAAATTCTTGAAGAGGATGGCGGGGGGGGGCTCGACGCCCGCTCGGCCGGGATGGTATGAGTTCGCAATCATCCCACCCACCCGCCAACAACTTGGTTTGTAAACCCCATGCGGCGGCGATTGCGATGCATGCTTGGCGCTGGCTGGTGCATCTCTGCGGCCGCGCCAACCCAGGCACGCGCGCGCAGCGGCCAGCTGCTTTGGCGCCACCGACGCGGCCGCGGCGGCGCTGACCGCTGGGCGCATCCCAGCGGGCACTTCCATGCGAGTCCGCTAGTTGGGCGGGCGCGGTATCATGGCAACGTCGGCTACGGTAGACGCGATGATGACAGTGGCGATATTGGTGACGATGTTCGCATCGACGAAAGCGCGGCCATTGCGGGCGCCGATGCTGATCACGCCGACGACGATGACGGCGTCCTCGCGTCGGCGATGAAGGTTTTGCACAGAGTTCGAAATGCGCGCGCGGCCGACGCGCGAGAGTAGCCCGCATGGTATTATTTGACACGGATCGTGCCCCCCCCCTCCCCAGCACGCGCGCAAGGGCGCGCGAATGATGTCGGCATGCGGCGCCAGAGGCCCCTTCCGCTGAATTCCATGAAGGTGTTGGAAAACCAATGGTCTTCTTAAGAATTCGCAAGAGCGCGCGAGCAAGCTATTCTTGAAAACTCAGGTTGCGGAACCTCATGTTTCTGAATGTTTCTTGGGCAGTCGATTTTGCAATCGCTAGGGAACTAGAAAGGTGTTTGAAAAATTTTGGCATGCGCGCGCGACAACGCGCGCGTGTGCACTTCGTCCCGTTTTGCACAAAGGATTCTCGCGACGGCACGCGCGCAAAGGCGGGAAGCCCGTTTAGTGACATGTCTGAGCATGTTGAAACATCCATCGTTTTCTGACGGTTTCGCAAGACCGCGCGCGCACGCTTTTTTCCCAACCAACCTGTGTTGTTGGGTCCTCGTTTTGAAGAGACGGTTCCCGCGTTCCTCCTCCACCTCCTCCTCCTCCTCTTCCTCCTCTCCTCCTCCCCCTCCTCCTCCCTCCTCCCCCTCTTCCCCGCGTTCCACCCACCCTGCACAGCGTTTCGTAGCCCCATAGACAGCTCCACCGAAGGCCCCAGTGCCACCGTCCACATGCGTCCCCCTCACTCAGTACAGCACTTCGTGGCCCCATAGGGAGCTCCACCGAAGGCCCCAGTGCCACCGTCCACATGCGCCCCCCCCACTCAGTACAGCGCTTCGTGGCCCCATAGGGAGCTCCACCGAAGGCCCCAGTGCCACCGTCCACATGCGTCCCCCCCACTCAGTACAGCGTTTCGTGGCCCGGGCGGGAACTCCACCGAAGGCCCCAGTGCCACCGTCCACATGCGTCCCCCCCGCTCAGTACAGCGGTTCGTGGCCCCATACGGAGCTCCACAGAAGGCCCCAGTGCCACCGTCCACATGCGTCCCCCCACTCAGCACAGCGCTGTGGCCCCATAGGGAGCTCCACCGAAGGCCCCAGTGCCACCGTCTACATGCGTCCCCCCCACTCAGCACAGCGTTTCGTGGCCCCATAGGGAACTCCACCGAAGGCCCCAGTGCCACCGTCCACATGCGTCCCCCCCACTCAGTACAGCACTTCGTGGCCCTGGCGGGAGCTCCACCGAAGGCCCCAGTGCCACCGTCCACATGCGTCCCCCCCACTCAGTACAGCGCTTCGTGGCCCCATAGGGAGCTCCACCGAAGGCCCCAGTGCCACCGTCCGCATGCGTCCCGCACACCCAATGTGGCATTTTCACGCACCCAGTGCAGCGTTTCGTGGCCCCACAGGGAGCTCCACCGAAGGCCCCAGTGGGACCGTCCGCAAGCTTCCCGAAACACCCATTGTGGCATTTTCACCCACCCAGTCCCGAATTTCGTGGCCCCACAGGGAGCTCCACCGATGGCCCCAGTGCCACCGTCCGCATGCGTCCCGAAAACCCAACGTGGCATTTTTACAAACCCAATACAGCGTTTCGTGGCCCCTTAGTGAGCTCCACCGAAGCCCCCAGTGGGACCGTCCGCATGCGTCCCGGAAGCCAAATTTGGCAGTTTCACCCACCCAGTACAGCGTTTCGTGGCCCCATAGGGAGCTCCACCGAAGCCTCCAGTGGGACCGTCCGCATGCGTCCCGGAAGCCCAATATGGCATTTTCATTTACCCAGTACAGCGTGTCGTGGCCCCATAGGGAGCTCCACCGAAGCCCCCAGTGGGACCGTCCGCATGCGTCCCGGAAGCCTTACTTGACACACCACTCACCCAGAACAGCGTTCCCCCCCACCCAGTGCAGCGCTTCGTGGCCCCATAGGGAGTTTCACCGAAGAAGATTTTCACAATTGCGGTACCCACAACTGCATATGGTTGGGTCTTTCGCCCGGATAATTTGAAAATCCGTGGCGTTGCGAAACCAAGTGTTTTTCTGTGTTTTTCCCCTAGGGGTCCTAGCAAATTCATATGTGTAGGTGATACCTACGTCGCCGATTTCGGTGGCCGGGCCCAGCCGGGTGCCTGGGCGCCCGGCCGCCCGGGTGCCCAGGGGTGCCCGGGGGTGCCCGAGGGTGCCCGGGGGTGTCCAGGTGCCCGGGTGCCCGGGTGCCCAGTTGCCTGGGTGCCCGGGTGCCTGGTAGCCCTATTGCCTTATCCACGTACAGCCTTGTAGCTCTATAGCCCTATAGAGCCCTACAGCCTCATAGCCCTAATAGCCCTATAGCCCCATAGCCCCATAGCCCTATAGCCCTATAGCCCCATAGCCTGAGAGCCCTGTACCCTGAGGCCCCATAGCCCTATAGCCCCAAACAAAAATC